AAAAAGGCCAACTACATCTCTACAACGGTTCGCCTGGCCTGACCGAAAACGTACACCGTGTGCCCCACGGTGGACGCACGGACGCTGACTTGTGCGTGAATTAGTTTATAGTGGTGGCGGTGGACTTTCGCTGCGTCTGCCGCACTCTCTCCTCCCTCACCCTCTTGTCTAGACAGTCGGCAAGACCGAAGGCGGGATCGGACACAGGTGGCTTGCGCAATGTGGGCCTGCGCGCAGGCTTGCCACCAAAACCCCATGTTGTGGGCGTGCAGCCCAAAAACGCTCGCCGCACCCCGATCTGGTCCCCCCATTGGTCCAGCCCAACTCCTGCGTGGCCAGTTGAAGGAAACAATCTACACTTACAACAGGGCCCAAACGCCCTGTTCTGTTGTTGGGTTTCATGTGACAAAAGTGGTTATCATGCGACAGCCGTACACGAAAAAAAAACATTCTGGCAGATTTGGTGGAACGCAAAGTTCAATAGAGTACCGACGCAAGGAGCAGACATCTCGTTTATTAGCCCCCTTTTTTGAAAGCAAACACATTAATCATCTCTTCTGGAGGGTAAACACTTTGCCAAGCATAATAAAGCCTTGTGAGTTTGACTGGGTAAAGGCTTTAACATCGCGCAGCGTTTTGTTTCGCTGGAGGTCCTTGCGAGGCGTCAGTCAGTCGGTCGGCAGGTCTGAATGTGAGCCCTCATTTTGGCATGGAATAAGTGCTAAACCTGCATCGGCGATGTTGTCGTCGAATAAGTTAAGGTCGGGCAAACAAAATGAAGCCGTGCGACCGAAAGGCTGGCACCAGCGGTCGGTCAGCGGTTGTCCTGCAGACTGATGCTAGGAGTTCAAGTTGTCTTTTTCTACTCCATAAATGCCCCGGGCGGACCGTTGGGTCGCGAATTGCGCCGTCTCAAGGTCACAGGCCCAAACTGCGTGTCTAGCGTTCGGTCAAGATGGAGGCGAGCGGCGACGGGGCCAATACGAGACTGCGCATGCAAGTGCACACGCGTGGTTCTTGATGAAATGCGTGGCTTATTTTCGGATTCTCGATCTGATGTGGAAGCTGGGTTAATTTGCGAAAAATGAAAACGAAACGGTTTGCATAATAAAACATTCGTTGTGCATACTTCTTGCTGAAGGTCTGCAGTCCTTTTTCATCTACAACTGCCTCAAGATAAATGACCATACAAAATAGCTCAACTAAGAACACCTTACGCCAACATAGGTAGAATTTGGACAGATAAAATATACGCATACGTTGAGTCCCAATTCCTGGTGAAAAATTTGAAATTGTTATACAGAGACGGTACTTGAGGAGACTTGATGGTTCTATACTCAAACAGTTGGTTTAGTATAGTAAACATTCAGCTCAGCAAGCAGCTTGAATCAAATTCATTGACATAAGCATATGTTGGTCACACCTGGGGCAGCAAACTTAGAATAAAGTGTTTGGTAAAAACTTAAAAAATTGTCTAAGCAATTTTAAAGGTTGACGATTTACAAGGTGTAAAAAGAAACTATACCAAGCCTATGACCTACTGATCCGCAGTGTGGTCTCCCGTGGGGAAATCAGGAAGGTTATTGAGAATGAAGAATATCGTTACTCAAAGGAGTAGTGCAATGCCTGAAGAGACAGCAGTCTATAACGAACGCTACAACGTATCCTGTGTTGGGGTACAAATTATACAGTTGGGTCGGGGTTTGGCAGAGGATGAAAATCGAAACTCAGCCCCACCTGGCTATTATGGGGGCTGTAGAAATTGCACTTAGTTTGAGTATTACTGAAGAACCTCTAGAGGCCCAGCGGTACTTCCTGGGAGTCACTGCGCCGGTCATCCTATTTGCATCGGAGCCCAAATAACTCAAGGTTACCTTATTATATCACAGGGTTACCGCTGAAAGGCGGCCTCATTTTATACCAGACGCACTGACCTGCGTCCGCTCGACCAACTCTGGCTAGGACACACGTGCGCCCAGATAGTTCCAGCCGTCCATGTCGAACTTAAACCCGCCACTCCTCGACCAATGCAACGAAGGCTACTGGACACATCACTCCCCGGGTAATGCAACACACGGACATGGTAAACCTGTTTCTAGCAAACCTGTTAGGGCAGCTGACACCGGTCTCTCCATATCAGGCACGACGTAACACCGTCAGCACACGCCCCGGCCTCGCTAGAGGTCACTGCAACCTCAGACAGCAGCACAGGGTTGCGTACAGAATAAGACCCCCCCCCTTCTGGTGATTTGTCTTTTCCTGCTAATCGATATTTGGTTTTTGGCATCCTTAGTACACTCACTATATACATACCCTTTAAAGCGTGTCGGGGTTTGGTTGCAAAGTTCAAATCCAGGCGTATCTTGTGGTAATTAATGTATTTGAAGAGGGAAGGTAAAGCAGAAAAGGTAACTCTGATCCTTCAGTGTCATTCGAAAAGTTGTGCGTGATCGCTCCTGGATATGAGTTTGGAAAGTCAACATTATGGAGATGAGGGTAGTCTACCCGTCAGAATTCCGCCTCGCTTTACACTGATCTTGACGGATGGAGACATAAAGGTCGTCAGTGAGGACAAAGAATTGGGTGAAATTCATCGTTAGTACAGAATGCGATGCTTGAGAAACTAGCTTGACCCATTTACATTACAGAAGGAGAGCGGCCAGACCTCCATGCTGAAAAGACATTCAGGCTCATGGTGCGCGGAGCGGGCGGCAGCCACGTGCTATAAATACTGCACTTCTTGTGCCACCATTACCCTCATTTGCGACTGTCTCTGATTATGGGTTCGAGTGAGAATCCGAAACGTCAGGACAATAAAGTTCTTGTTCCAGTGATCGCATCTTCGTCCTCTGAACGACCACGTTAGGTGATAATTGCAGCCTGGCTTTCGCTCCTAACAAGGACTTAGTTAGTTCAGCACCTGGCAACCTTCCAAGTCACGACAGTTAGCCCCTCGTGACAAATTCAGGCGCATCAGGTTTAGTAGAGTAGGAAGGGCGTTGATATGCCCTGGGAATAGGTCCCCCAGTGTTGACCTCAATTCCTCTCTATTCACTTCTCCTCTCAACCAGCTGATGGCGGGATTGGACACAGTGACCGACGCGGTGTGAAGGCCTACAATGCGTGACCGATCTCAGAAAATGCTGGCCAAAATTCTGAAGAGTGCTGTAGAGCCCACGCCGGACACACCGGTAACGACGGTCGAACTGCCACACTGAAAAGACAAGTGTGTTGGCAAATGGTTTGATGACATATCCTCCCGTGAAATAGGCCGAAGAACTGGAGGACCTTTACTGCTGCCTCTTGGTAAGGTCTCCAGGCCCTTTGATGAGGCACGCTAAGGGACTAGATTTCACGGTGAATCACTTTCTCCCAACTGGACTTTGTACGAAAAGCTCGTTAAATAAGGTGTTAAAATTGCCATGAAGAGGCGTTAGAAGCATCTGTATGTGAAAAATGTGCTTCTTCGTGTGACCTCCTAAACGAAAAGGAGGAGATTATGATAGAAATTAATAAAACTCCTAAATTAGGTGTCACTGGAGTAAAGGGCTAGCAGTCAGCTCCGTTTCGTGATAGTAAAGGTATTGCAGGAGTAAATGGAATATCGCCAGCCCCA